TGTATGCATTCAGTATTTTAATTATATAGCTTGTGCGAAATACTTATAAAAACATTGCTATTTATTCAACTGTTCTTGTCCCGTACTTCAGGGACCAACCCTTGGTAGTAGTTTGTTTGGACCTTGGATATTGACAATATTTTGTTCTCGATGCCACTAGCCAGTCACTAGTTATATCTAGGATACGTTCTCAACCACACTTCCTTTTAAGTGATACCTCCTCGTTCTCACACGATCCAATTCATCGGGTGATTCGGTAAGAGCTTCATAGAATGCCCTCACTTCGCATTCTATCACGAATTAATATTTATTCTTTCGTTTCGCATCAAAGAACAGATCTGGACTAATGTTTCCTACAGAAACATGCTAATTTTTTTCAGTTAGTTCTTATGCCTGTTCTTCAGAAAATTTCTCGATTTCCGACAATAAAATTTTACTGTATCGGACCGTAGCCAGACCTCGCCCACAGAAACCTACGATTTATTTACGCATTAATCAACTCAAATAGTGCAGCCACATTGCACTAAGTCTGAAATGCCTTTAAACTGGTACAGGTTGGCGTCTCGGCCTAAAGATACAGGATAAAAACATTTTAAGTACTTTTAACTGATAAATCGGTGATCAGAGGCATTCTAAGCATATAATTTCGAGTTTTTGCGATCGATTAAAGCGTAAATAACCTTTTAAATTATGGTCATTTTAATTTTATATTAGGCACTAATCGAAAGTATTTTCATTTTGCGCAAACCATAATACACAACTAGCGAATTCCTCTGTCAAGAGTAAGTAATTCATGGAATTTGCCGCTTATTAGTAATATGGCTGGCAGGTAATCTTAAGCGGCTGTATGTATAAGGGACACTCTGGATCTATAGTGAAATGTTCGGTAGTTTTCCCGTAGATGAATAGTAGATTGCTAGAAAATTATGGAACCCCTTGACAAAAAATTGACTTTAAAATACTTCAAGCCAATTATTAAGCAGTAAATTACATTAAAAAAACAGGCGTAAGTTGCAGGTTGAAGCACATCTGCTTGTATGTAATTTCCATACGCTTACAAGATACCATTTTTGTACTGGACCGAGCCATATTCGCCGCAAAGATGGATCCAGGTTGTGGAAATCATTTTTACTAGAGTAATACGACGTTCAGAATTGGGTTCGGATTACTCCATCAACTTTACATTTATATGTAGAACAGACATCGCTTCGTTCTAAGATGCAATCAGGAAACTACACGAGTCCTTGAATAATCAATTAATTATCTCGTTTATTATCGTTTCTCGTTTATTATCATACCAGTTGGAGCAATAACTGCGTCCCGTTGCAGTAATAGCACAAATTCGAGCTTGAGAAGCAAAGAAAATTACAGAAAAATTCACCATTTCTTCAGAGAAAACATTTCAGCGACATTAAATACTTTTAGGACAAAGATCTTGTAGCTTAATTGGATAAAATAACCGTATTTTCAGGTGAGCTTGAAAAATGGGATAACGATGGAAAGTTGAGTTTATTACCAACTTAGCGATATCCAAACAAAATTTAGCGAACAAAACTTTGTGGAACGAGCTGATAAAAAGAATGTAAAGGCAAGCAAAACAAGAATGGATTAGAGGCTAAAGAAATCTTTTCATTATTTGAGAAGTTTCAAGATGGTATAAATGGCCATCAATTTCACGAGATAGTTTGGTGCTGCCTAACTTCGGTAGCGGCTCCTCTTCAATAAGCGTGAAGAGGCAAAGGAGCCGCAACTCGCTCCCGCGTCTGCCCAACCCGAAATTTCTGAAGAAATGGAAACGGTGGTCAGGCAAGGCACAAAGTTCAGCTCTGAAAGTAGACGAAAAAACGCTCGATGCAATAAATGGTCTTTAATGACAAAGTTTGCAATCGTAGCAAAAGTATGTATAGCTGGTGTAACTTGTTGCCACACGTTTCGAGTAAAATGCAATCTTGATTATTGGAGAATCATGGATGAACTCTTAAAATTACCAATAAATATTAAAGTATGGATAATTACGGGCTTTATTATCTACCGTATTCGAGTTTCAAGTGAAAATTAGCAGGATTTAACACCTCATCACCGCTTGCTCCGTGCCTACAAAGATAGGGTGACGTACCTGAAGTGCTAAAAAATCCTTCGGTGAATCGCTGGGGAAGTGCGGGTTCTTGGAGCTGGTCCACGCCCGCGCAGAGGTAAGTTGCCGGGGCCAAGGTAGTGGTAGCGCGCAGAGGTAAGTGGCCGGGGCCAAGGTACTAGTAGTGAGTACCACCGAGGTAAGTCGTGGCGCAGACGACATCCACTCCAGCACGTGCCCACGCATGCGTCCAGAGTCCCGACCGGGCTCAAGCTAAGCGTCCATGGGTGGCTTTACTCCATGATTCCAATAGTTGAACCGGGCCGAAGATTCTTCAAAAGGTTAGTCCGTACCATCTGACTTGAAGTGCATGTAGACCAATGCGTTCAAAATGAATCTGGCACGAATCTTCAACAGCACATTGAGAGTTGCTGCTATGAAGTCAGGCAACGAACTGGCGAAGATTCTTCAGAGAAAAGTGAAGTAAAGTATTGGGCGAGATGTTAGTTTCACGTTGAATGTGCATACTGAAACTACTTCCAACGTCACCCAAATCATTTGAGGCACAGAGCAGGTGAGGATGCTAAATTTATGCCCGAAATTTAGCAGACATGTTCAACAACAACAACAACAACAGTTCAACATTTGCGGGAGCCTGTACTTACCAAGCGATATTTGTAAACCTTCATGCATTATCTTCCTGGTGTTCTGAAGAAGTTTATTGAATCGATGAAGTGGCATTGAAGTCGCTCGTTAAGTCAAGACATCACGCAATTCATTCTGCTGCGTTTCTTATATATTCAAATAAGATTATTCATATAATTTGGTAGTATTATTTGATATAAATGGGGATACGTTGCCATGAACTGTAGTAGTGTAGAAATATTATCTAACTAAACAAATTTTCACGCAATAAATGCTTCATCCTAAAAGCCCTTTACTGCACTTTATTTGAAGCATATATGGATGGTTTCCCTGCCTTCTGTAAATAATTATAAAAGATCACTTGGCTTTCATATATCAATTTCGTTTTTTCGTTCACTCTTTCATACAAAAAGTTACTTCGAAGGAATAAACGGGAAAATCAGCTAAATAACAAAATACTCTAAATTGAGAAGTTCAGGAATAAAAACTTTCTAGTGTCAGTCGAATTTAAAAATGTGTTATATTTATCTTGTAAAAAATGGAATTTGTCGCTGAAAATACTAGCATCTACAGGAATACAGTATATGTTAAATTAAGCAGCATTGCCTTGTTATATATAATAAATATGATTAATGAGACAGAACGCATATCTGAAGAGGAGGACTTCAGAGAGGAGCGGGAGCTCAGCGTCAAGCATACAAAAAATAAGTCACTTCGTAGTCAGAATTTTTACAGTGACAGTATGCATTTGACTAATTGCAACATTATAACGCTTTCCAATGATAAGTGCTCCAGAAAAAACCGTTTGCTCGGTATACTGAATTATGAACTTTTTGTCAAGATAGAAGGAAATATTTGCTTCGTGCTTTAACTCTAAATATTCATTTGCCTTTTTAGCACATTTTCTCATTTATGAAAAAATGCACTATTGTGCTCGCCAAGTCCGTCCGTCTGTCCTCTGTCTGTCCGTCCGTGACCTCATGTTTTCGTCGACGAGAAAATGTGCTCTCTGTCACTCACTGCAGTGAGAACTGAGTTATATTTTTTACTTTTGTGACCTATGTTTGAAATAAATAACTTCTCGAATAGGACTAATGAGTAATACTAATTTTCTGATACCAACTTTCACCATTGCATATTTACAAAGGTTTCTCCAAATTTCAATGAAAGTAATAAGATGATTCGAGACATTTTTCAGGTTTACTGATAGTGAGTTTCTGCACATAAAGACAAGACAATGTTGCAATACGAGATATAACGATTAACGTGGTATTCAAACAATACTATGCAAGAAGGTAACATACGGAAGAATTCAAACTAAATAAGCTCACTGAATCGTCGGAGGAACTGGGGCGAATTTCGAATCACAATGCAACGAAGCAAATAGTGAATTCCAAGGTTGCGTACGGTCGTGGGTCTATGAACGTTCTATCTACCGAATGATATTGGCTCCTGACCACACCTCACAGCATTACGTAGTTGCGTACTGTCGTGGGTCTATGAACGTTCTATCTACCGAATGATATTGGCTCCTGACCACACCTCACAGCATTACGAGATGGAATCAGTTGTGCACTATAAGCTTCAACAATAATGTTTGATTTTACAGAAACCGATTTTAATAAGAGTGAAAGACGAATATTGTGTGGTCAAAATCCTTGTTAGCGAATATACGTAACAGACGCATTTTGTTTATATCTCGATTATGATGAGTTTCCAGTTTTTTAACGTTCCAACCCGACGGATAAGCATGTAAATTATATTGTACAACGTACAAATATTGACTAGAACATCTTAAGGATGATCAATAAGTTAACTTCGTGAGGGTGAACAATAATTTTGTGTCGTGAAGGTGGACAATAAGTTAATGTCGTGAAGGTGAACAATGTTAACGTCGTAAAGATGATCAATAAGTTAACATCGTGAAGGTGAACAATAAGTTAACGTCGTGAAGATGAACAATAAGTTAACGTCGTAAAGATAACAATAAGTTAACGTCGTGAAGGTGAACAATAAGTTAACGTCGTAAAGATGATCAATAAGTTAACATCGTGAAAGTGAACAATAATATAACGTCGTGAAGATAACAATAAGTTAACGTCGTGAAGGTGAACAATAAGTTAACGTCGTAAAGATATGACAGATGACCTAGATCTCTAGGTTCCAGGCATGACAGATGACCTAGATCTCTAGGTTCCAGGCATGACAGATGACCTAGATCTCTAGGTTCCAGGCATGACAAATGACCTAGATCTCTAGGTTCCAGGCATGACAGATGACCTAGATCTCTAGGTTCCAGGCATGACAGATGACCTAGATCTCTAGGTTCCATGCATGACAGATGACTGCTAATCCGTAGTCGCAGTAGTAGTTGACTAACGCAAAGAAAGAGGAACCCTCCTGATAGCTGGTATAAACGCAGTCCCTGCCATTGCCGTAGTTGGGTTGGTTGTAGAGCCACTCGTACTGACCGTCAGGTCCGGGCCAGCGACCGTTCGATTCATAGCTCCAGTTCCCGTTGATGTAGTAAACACCTAACCAGAACATTCCTTGGGACGATGATCCTAATGTTGAAGAAAGAAATGTTAGGAATAAATGAAATAAATATATAAATATATTGTCCTGATCTTGAAGAAAACAGCGTAACAATTTTGTAGGTTATGTACAACAACCTCCGTCGTAGGCTTTTGACCCATTAGAAGCTATTTTAATAAATAGTCCTCTATCTGGTAATTATTTTTTCCCTTAAATACACGCATTTTGCCCATTGTATGAACTTCAGCCTAGTGAAGCCCGTGTTCTAAATACTTAGACAATTAGATGTCCAGAATTTAAATTTCAAACATAGGTTTTATCGTCATTCGGCGCATTGATCAATTGTCAAAAAATACTCTGAAATTTCGAAATATCAACATTTGAAATATTTTTACTTAATCGTATTTATAATTTGTAGGCCGCCCTATCTCAAAATAAAAGCAATTACGCATTCATAATTTCGGCAAACATGAAAGACTGCACTTTGATTTAACGCAACTGGAGATGGATAGGAAAAATGTTCCATAGTTGAGTTCAAAAACGTACAAGTTTTACAAACGGCTTGTAAAAACACACCATTAAATTTTTTGAATATTTCTCTTATCTATATTAGATAAATCATACGAATTAGTTGAACATACAAGGGGGATTACTTTCACATTTATATTTAATTTTGTCAACCATGAGATCCTTTATAGCTCATTACAACCTAAAAAATGTCCTCGCGTTTGTGCCCTTGATACAAACTTTGTGCCATTTTTTAAGGGCGTTCGATTATTTGCAAATTTTTACATTTTTATATGAATGTCATAATATCTTATATGACTTTATATGAATAAATTTTATATGAATGTCATATATCTGTCATACAATAACCGCTATACATCTTCTCTGGTAAAAATGGGGCTATAAAGCAAACATTTATTAAGCTGGGCGTGCACTCTGATAAATTGGACAGTACAATACACTTAGCCGCCTAATTATAGGTATCGGCCAATTCCTCGTCTGTGATTTCTAAATTTAGCTTAAAATTCTGTCAGTGATTGGCTGTTGGAATTAAAAATAATAACTATTTGTGAATGTACGGCCCCTGAAGTATTAATTTTTTACCGTAATTCGCATTAAGGTAGGTCATCAGGGCGAGGTATTTGTCATGTGTCGTGGGTGAAGCCACCTGCGCCCCAAGAGACTGGCAGTAAGCCTTCGCATCGCAGAGCGTCATGTGTGTCTGGTTGAAGTACATGCAGCCGAACGGGTGTTGCACGAAGGGCGGAGTGCAGCTTGTCAGCGGTGGTACACCTTGGAATACAATATGAATTATTCAACAGATTTGAATGGAAAAATTACTACCGTGTGAAGTGTAATTAAAATAATGAAAAAAACATTAATGCATATTTTTCTTGTCCATGAGAGTGTGGGTGTGTTCGGTGCCACTAGGAAAGTGAGGAAAAAACGAGAGTTGACATAGAATTGCCACGTAGAAAAAAGAGGAATGGAAAGAACAGGAGGAGATGAAGAGGCGCAATGAGCATAATTAGGTTGGTTGGGTGTATGTAATTGGGTTTAGGTTAAGTGGAGAAGTGGGAGAATTTATGCCTATGAGCAAAACATTTGGGAGGTATCAACTTATAGTAAAAGGCTTCTAAAGTACGTTGCCACATTTGATTATCATTGGAACCTACCATTAGCTAGGTTGACCAAGCCACGCTTGGTGCAAGTCAGGTTGAGGTTGGGGCAGAAAGTGTCAGGTATCTTTTCTCCTTCGTGGACAGTTTCGTTGTCGCGAAGGCAAACTGTGGAATTGCAAGAAACATTCCAGTTAGCTGAAGCTTCGTTCTCCATCCATTACGCTCCGACATGAATTAATTATATCAACCTATGTTACTGTGAGACACCAAATTATAAATCCAACTATGTATTTTTAAAGAATACACAAAATTTCTTATGTTTCCATGACGTTAAAAACCGAATGCATTATATGTATATTAAAGTATAATTTTTTCTGAAAAATATGTACGTCTGGAGGTCATCGCGACGTAGGCAATGGGAATATTTTCAACGCGTTGTGTGTTAGTGGCTATTTATATCGATTTGCAAAGAAGATGAAGATCATTTCAATTACATATGCCACGAAAGGTAATTTCAAATTCGCCCTTAGCAGTAAAAATGTCAGGACGACTAATTTCGGTTGGACCAGGAAGATGTGTAATTTCAATAGGTATTACGGATGCAATTTTGGTCTAGAACCTATTTTCTTGAGAACAGCTGGCAAATAAGTTTAGACGCAATTCTAGAGGACTGGCCATGTAGCTGAAACGAGTCAGCAAGACTTGGTGAAAACGCTTTGTTTCTGACTAGGCCGCAATGTTAACTCAGATGCGAACTATAAGTTCTTGACAGCAAATCCTAATAGAGTTATGCTGATATATTTAGTATGACATAATCTAATTTTCACTTAAAAAACGATAACAATTTTCTGATGCATACCTTCGGAATAGTAGCAGTTGTAACCTGGGGTTTGCTCTCCTTCAACGTCTGGTAGGTAAACATGTCCGAAAACACAGCTTTTTGGTCCGAAGCAGAAGAGGTTCGCCTTTCCGTCTTTAGTTGCCAAAATACTACACAGAATCTCCGCTTTAACGTCAACATCAGAGACGTTGTAGCGGCTCAAACTTGTGATATTTGCCGAGAAAGCTGCCCATTTTCGTGGGATGTTTTCAGTTGATGCGCAGAAGTCAAGAAGAAACATGAGGCTCACAGCCACTACTGTGGCTCTCACGGACATCTTCAGCATGATAGACTGAATTTAATTCATCTTTATTTATTAATTTGACGTAAAACACGAATAATCTGCTGGTAGATAAAAAAAAGAGTTAGTAGCATCCTGTCCTATTTAATTCCATGCAGCAAAAGTATTATATTTGGATTTTAAACGGTTGTATTAAACTCAATACATCATTTTCTTTAATTTATTAGTGATATCTAGCAGTGACATCACATACCCGAATATTTAATAAAAACTTGTGGGCCATGAATACAAAACCGAACGTTCATCAGTCGTTGGTTCTGCAAATTAACTGCCTAAATAATAATAATTTATGTTCTGATTAGGATTTAAAATTATCTCAAGGAGCTACAGGTATTGATTTTGTGCGGTCCTTCCAGCAGCCACTGGTTTTTAATTATATAAAGTAAAAACTAAAGGTTTCTCGAAAAACTATTCGTGTCATATACACAATAAAATTATGTAACTAATACGGAACCCAGTAAACTAAAAAATTTAAGTATCGTATCACATGGCTTCACAAACGTGCGCGTCTACTACAACGACGCTATTCTATGAGCAGGAGATGGTCATGGTTCCTTCAAATACCAACATCTGACGTGAAGCATCGTAAGAATGCTTGACTAGCTGCTCTCTTTGGTTATATTAAGCAGATTCGGCCCATGAGGCAATGCGACTCACGAAAAATGTTTCTATATAGCAGCAGAATACAGCAGATGACAGATTACCGCCTGATTCACCTCAAAGACAACTCAATAGACCCAAAATGAAACCCGAATTTCGGAAGGGTAATTTAACTTATATAATAACTTTGTTTCTTTCCGAAATATCAACGTTATATTAGTGATAATATAATAAGTTGATGATATCATGCAATAGTGATTACGTGCGCGCACGACATTCACATACAATAAAGTTTTTATCGTAAAGTTTCCAAAGCACGCGTGCTACCGCGGTCACGTTGGCTAAGGCGTCGCGCAGCCTGCGAAGTGATCTCGGGTCTGAATCTTGCCATGGACGAATGCTCATCCCAGTGGAGTAATAAAGGTAAGAGAAAAGATAGTGTCGCTAATAGTATGTCTATAATCTAATGCATGCAACTAATTGTAATAAGATGCTCATATAATGTAACTGTCTCAACGAAACATGTAAAATGCTATACGATCATGCATCAACATGATGAGACATGTTCAGTGAGCTGTTTTGTGAAGCTCCTTGTTGGAATTTCAATAAAGATTTAATTTTATACATCAATCGATGCCATGCATTTTCTTCTGAGTTTTACACCATAATATCGCTATAGGGTGCTTTTAGAGCTTTGGCAATATCTTGCATATAAATTATTTCACTTGTATTGTTGGAAACTTAAAGTTCAATAAAAAGAAATCTCAAATACTTAAAATTTTAGCATTTTATGTCTTACACGAGCTATTAAACTAACATTACATTTTTGACAACTTTCGTTTGTCCATGGAAAAAAGTTCTTAAGATGTTTTTAACAAAATTATTTATTGAAAAGCTGCTTTATTATCCGTTATCAGGACCGTGTGGCTCATTCATGGAAGCGCTTATATATACCGGCAAATAATAGCCAGAATTACGCGCTCCGGCTGCTGAGTGGCGTTTAACGCGCCTGTGCCACACATTTTGGGACAAGCCAGGATAGACACTTCGGTGAGTCGTTAGTACACGGGGATGTTTGAGTGTAAAAGCGAATTTTGCCGCGAAAATTAAGAAATGGTATACAAAATTTAAATTTGAAATATAAGCTTGGAATATGCCGTGAATCACGGCATTGATGAAATAATATCTCCTGAATTGGTTGACGCCGAGATTGATGGCCGAGTGAATTGGCTAAATTAAGAGACTAATGCATGGTTTTGTTATGCCTTTTTCTTAAAATTACTGTATCATTACAAACTGTAATTATTATCAATGTGCAAGTAATTGCTGTGAGTGCTAAGCAATAATTATATTTTTGTTGTTATATTTTGGATTGTTAACACCTTAATTCTTTAGAATGATAACACGTACCGTCAATTTATTTCAAAGTAATGAACTGAATCCATCAATTAGCTAAAATTATTTGCAAAAACTAATCTTCATGCGTGTTTGCTATAATCTTGGATTATAGCAAAAGCATAATAAAATCAGCTATTTAATCGGACAAATTATGGCATGTCAAACTCTGAAATTAAAATTAGTAATTTTTTACAAAGAAAACTTGTACGGCACTTTGTATAAAAGAAAAGTTGCTTCTTCTACGTCTGAAACACTCCAAATCCGTTTAATATCTCTTAAAAATTCCTGTTTTTTTAGAAACTATGACAAGAAATATCCCTTATCCCTTTATATTATAAATTCCTTTCGGGAAATTCTTTCAATGCCCCACCTGTTCACTATCATTCAAAATAAAAAAAAACGAGAAATAACACGAAATTTATCTTGTCCGTCTGAAAAAATATTGGTCTTTACGGAGGCACTATATGGAGCTTCCAATCCGAAACCCGACCGGCGACAGACTGCCCTGCCTCAGAACAGATTAATATATTTAACAACACACGTAGAATTTTATCAACCAATCAGCAGCTTCAACTTCCGTATTTGACGTCGTCTCGGTAACGCATAAACAAACGCCGTGTCACACTGGCCTTTGTAACTGGCCAAGGGGAGGCATGTTTAGAAAATATACCTCATCCAATTAGTTTTTTGTCTGTAAGCCCTTGACAACTAATTTTAAGTACGATTTCGAAGAAAAATTGTAAATGCTATCAAATAGGAGTGAACAAAGGATTTAGTCATGAAAATAAAATAGAAATAAATCCCTGTCTGTAACTGCTATCGACCTTGTCTTCGGTGTGCGCGTGGCGTGCTGTGTAGTTCTGAAGGCCTGCATTTTTAAAGACATCGTGACCCTCAAGCTGAGCATTGGAGAATAGCTGCATGGCATACAAAACTTAGGAATAAAAACCCTTAAAAATCACAGTTTCTTCTATAATAATTTTTTTCAAATGAAATGAGTTTGCCTCTTCCTAGCACCCTTTTCTAATTCGAACAAGGCCTCGATATTTTGTGAATATTGAATCTTATCTTTCTATCGAGAACCGATGAAAATAGTGTAAAACATAGAACAGACAAGAAATATGCCGTTCAAATTACAGAAATTTCTTCCTAATTTTACAAAAGAAGAGCAGATTTGATCGTTTAGGCGCTCATCCAATTGCTCGACAGTAATTGTTCAGAAGATTACTCACAAAGATTCTGATCAAACTCAACATGTCCTGGAAAAATTAAAAAAATTTGCTTTGGTTCTCGTTTTACACAAAACCTATGAGTCTTGCTTTAGTCTTTCAGAAATGAGTTAGATTAAAATAATGACCTCCGATACGCCGAAATGGAAGCAGATAAAACCCCGTGTGTTTTGATTGCGTGTGTACAGCATTTCTGGTCGCATATGGCCTGTCGAGATTCGTCGGTGCGGTAGCAATTAATTTTCAAGTACACTTCAACACGCTATCCTGAACTCCAAGAATTAATAGAGGCCGTGTACAATAGTTAATGATAGCTGAACTGAGCGTAGTTGTGATTGGAATTAAAATCTAAGTCAGGTATGGAGTGCTTTGATTTTAGATTATATATTCCAGAATATTTATTATTCCGTAAAAACACTCCTTGTTCTCTGATTTCCTGAGATTGCTGAAAACATATTTTATTTTTTACTTTAATTTGCAAATAAGGTTTTACTTAATAGCATTAATAATTCTGATAATTTGCTTCTATACATAGAATCCTTCTAGCGGTTTGATTTTCGTCGTGTTATCAAAGTTATTTAGTATATTTATTCGACAGCTAAGCCACTTGTAGCGCTGTACCGTTCGATTAGTTTGTGGTGTACCGTTTGATTAATTTGTTATAAATTAATCTTACGATATCTGAATTAATTATGTATAATCATGCTGACAATCGTTTCATCGGCTCGCATTGTTCTTAGTGTTCATTTCGTCACACTTGAAAAACTTTCATAGCTTTTAATAAAAGAAATTTTAGGTGAGCGTGCTAGAACTTGATCATGTTGGGAGATGGCTATTGCCATTGGCTTGACTTGTTTAAATTAGTCGCGATCATTCCAATTTTCTAGCGCGGTCATTCCAATTAACCTTCTGTTGAAGACATTGAAAGTTTGACAATAAGTATCGGAGTATCAATTAACAAAGTAAGGTGTTCCTCAATTTTAACTGATATGTGCGTTTGAGGATCAAGCGACTGTATATGATATCGATCAGTGCTCTAGCAGACCGTGGGGAGGGACCTACTTCTGGGACAGAGAATGGATGTGGGCGTGGAGGAAGCTTGACATGCAATTTGGTAATAACCCTAACAAAATTTAGAGTAGTCCCGGCTTCCGGTACTCCAAATCAGAAGTTGACGCATCTGTAAATTTTCACTGGGAATTTAGTGCAAGACAAGATAAGATACCAAAAGTTACGTTCACCTATATATGTCGAAGAAAGCGTGCATCACATCGAAGAGAAACAATAACACACAGATTACGCGGCTCACATGCAATCGTTTATAACGCCCAATATATACAGGCTTCTTTGTTGAGATCTTGTGACATAATCATTTTACTTTTGCTCAGCGTATCATTTGTACGCTTGGTAATTGGCTCACGTTCGTGGGCTGTAGGAGAACAACGTGTACAGAGTGGATGACCGCTGGCGTAGCCTGGTCGTCTCGCCCTTCAAGTTGATGGTTCTGACGCCTTTGGCTTGCGCGCGGGGGCTAAAGTTTATAACCTATAAAACAAGTTGCTTGTACGAAAATACAAGCATTAATAACTAAAACTATGTGCTTGCTGGTACTCATGGAAAGTCGTTTCCCCACTTATGTTTCTCCAAATTTGAAATGTTTTTACTCATGTTTTCGTTGCGCATGGTAACGCGGTGCAATATATTGTACTATTATAAATTGGGTAACGTAGAGTCCTGATTTTGCTTTTGTGACACATTTACCGTGAAGTCGTGT